TGCATTTTAAGTGCTTGAGAGTATAAATCATAGAATCCTAGGATGCTTTGGGCTGGAAGGCACCTTAAAGATCAGCTAGTTCCCACCTCTCTGCCATGACACATACCACTAAACCTCTATAAGCATAAAAAGAAATATTTGAGTTCACTTAGCTAAAAATCTAAACTAGTCATTCCTGTTATCAGCTCATTGATCTTGTAATTCAATTAAAGTTTCCGTGCTGTAAAAACCAAAATACATGTGGGCACATGTCCTTTGCACTGAGCTGATGGATCCATTGTAAGTGCTGCTTTAGTCACTGGAATTAGAAAAAAAATGTAGTTAGAGGGAGAGGGGGAAACATCTTAGAAAAAAAAAAAAAAGGCGAGTAAGTTTCTTCCCTCTCTCTTAACAAATACAGTTTGAAACTAGAAGGAACAACTATCGAAAGTTTAATTTCTGCTGATAAAACATCAATGCAACCTGTTTTACCTGAGCAGTGTGCAGTTCCCACAGCTACTTACAGAACAGTATGAATTTTTGCTGTTTACAGACTGCATTTTTCTGCTCAGCTCTGTGGGCAGTAGGTCCCATCATCTACCTTGTCGTGACATTTTTGGAGTAGCAGGGGGCTCAGCTTTTAACTTCTTTGCAGGAAGTGAATTTTCAATAGTTCCTTATAAGCTTTTTAATTTAAAGATTTTACTGTAAAGATTGTACAGTGAAGATTGTACTGTTAAAGATCCACTGTTTCATGATGAAATGTCTTTCCTTAATAAGACTTAATGATTTTTTTTTAACTTGATTCCTAAATTAACATCTGCATTATTACTGTATTTGTTCTTAAACTAACACGTGCCTCCTTTTCTCACTTTAACACGTGGATGTCAAACCAAGCCAGTCACAAGCTGGTCATTTAAGCCTTAGTGTTCCTGAGATGGAGCATAACTGTCACATACAACAGCCTGTGCTCAGCCATCCCTGTTAGCAAATGTGATGGTGGGAAAGCAAATTTGTCTTGCATGGTAGTTCTGAGGTCCCTCTTCATGGAATTGTGCTGAAGCAGGAAGGATAACCCATCCCTCTATCCTTAGAGGGTGGCAGAAAAGAAGGTCAGTGGGGATCTGTGGTGTCCCCATGGGTCCTGGCAATGCAGTTCTGTCCCTGTGGTCAGCTGCCAGTGCTGCCAGCACGGCTGCACCCAGGTAGTTGAGGCACCTTGACTGCTTGAACATTCCCAGAAAAGAGGTTCTGAACTCAGTGTGAGGCCCCAGGCTGGCAGTGGGTCCCAGTGCTGTGTCCCAAGGGAGTTTGAATGGAGAGCATTTTAAATCCCAGAGTCATAGAATCACAGAATGGTTTGAGTTGGAAGGAAGCTTCAAGACCATCCTGTTCCAACCATCCTGCCGTGGGCAGGGACACCTTCCACTAGCCCAGGTTGCTCCAAGCCCTGTCCAACCTGGCCTTGGACACTTCCAGGGATGGGGCAGCCACAGCTTCCCTGGGCAACCTGTGCCTCACCACCCTCACAGGGAAGGATTTCTTCCTATTACCCAATCTTACACTGCCTTCTGTCAGCTTGAAGCCATTAACCCTTGTTCTGTCACTCCATGCCCTTGTCCAAGGTCCCTCTCCAGCTCTGATATAATGCAGGTGTAACCTGGATCAGTCTTGGAAAACAGCAAAGCTGTGACAAAGAGGCCATGGGAAACTCTGCCTGGGAGCTGCAGTCAGGCTCAGGCTCTCACCCCTAGTCCCTGCATTCTTTTGCAATGGGATATCACTAGTCATGAAATCACATCATAAAATCACAAAATGGCTTTGCTTGGAAGAGCCCTTACAGATCTCGTAGTTCCAACCCCCACTAGATCACTAATCCTCTTTAGCCCACAAGAAAATGAGTCAGGGCGGGTGGGAGCCTGCCCAGCTTCACTTTTAGTGCTGGGTCTCACCCCACCCTTTGATCAGTGGCTCGTTCATCACCACCTATTGATTCTTTAGCAAGTGACTAATACGTGTCCCAAACAGATCTGAATGCCTTTTGGAGCAAATCTGCTTGATAAATAGAAGCCATTTTGTTCTTATTTGCGGTAGATTAAATGTGCTAAAGCTAATTGTGCCACACCCCCCCTCCCCTGGCAGGCAGAGAAAAGCGTGTTCCCCCGTGTTTCTGTGAGCAGCACTGTCGTTGTGCAATCACCTCTGTGAGTGTGAGCACACCTGGGCTTGCAGCAAATGAGGCAGGACAAGGCGTGACTGGAAAACTGGCTCCCGGGTCTCCTCGGTGTGGAGATGTGGAAAACACCCCGAGGTGAAATTTTCAGCTGCCTGGGGGGTCATGGGAGAGGAGTGCACAGTGCCCCTGTGCTTGGCACTGGAGAGGCTGCACCTTGAATCCTGTGTCCAGTTTTGGGCCACTCACAACAAGAAGGACATTGAGGGGCTGGAGCATGTCCAGAAAAGGGCAGTGGAGCTGGAGAAGGGTCTGGAGCACAAGTCTGCTAAGGAGCAGCTGAGGGAGCTGTGAGGGCTCAGCCTGGAGGAAAGGAGGCTCAGGGGGCCCCTCGTTGCTCTCTACAACTCCCTGAAAAAAGGGTGTAGCCAGGTGGGGGTTGGTCTCTTCTCCCAGGTGACAAGAGGAAACGGACTCAGGTCGTGCCAGGGAATGTTCAGATTGGATATTAGGGAAAAATTCTTCACGAAAAGGGTTTTCAAGTGTTGGTGCAGGTGCTCAGGAAAGTGGTGGTGTAACCATCCCTGGAAGTGTTCAAAAAGTGTGTGGGTGTGGCACGTGGGGACCTGGTTTAGTGGTGGAATTGGCAGTGTTAGCAGAATGGTTAGGCTCTTGGTTGAGCTTTCCAACCCATAATTTTAAGGACTTTAATGCTCATCTTAAGGTTTGGACCATGCAAGAACATTTCAGAGCAAAGGAACAATTGGAATCCCCTCTTAGGAGCTGGTCTGAGGTCCCTTCCAGAGGCCTGGGGACAGCAACAGCCCTTGTGACAAGGCTGGGCTGTAAGGCAGTGAGGCTGGTTGCTTTCCCCTCTGCCTCTTCGTGCCAGGTTGGACTCTGACTCCTGATGAAGCAGCGCTTGTTTAAACTCTAATAATCTATAATGCAGTGTGGGGCCCCACAGCAAAGTCAACATTATAAAGTTACAACTCCAAAACAATTGGATGGCTACACAAATGTGGTGACACAGCAAAAACAGGAGACTTCAAAGGTTAATTGTTTGGTTTCTGGTGCCATCTGGTTCTGAGGCACTGTGGAGCTTTCAAACAGGCTGTGGGTGATGGCCTCATCCTCTGCCTAGAAGAAGAAAACCATAAAAGTCTGTTTGGAGGAGTTGAGCTCTTGTACAAATGGCATCTGTTGGCGAGTATAGTTGAGGTCTGTGGTCATTAAAAGGAAAGACTGAAATGATCTACAGGAGCCTGAATGCCAGTCCAGCCATCTGGGTGTTCCTCAGTGAGAGATCAGTCTGAGACAGAAGCTGAAAAACCCACATCTTTGTACTGCTGGTAAGTGGTAGGAATTCACAAGGCAAAAAGATTCTCTCAATCCAATGCAAAAAATTTGAGGTCTGATTAACCTCAGGAAAGAAAACGGGAAAAAAGTGAGTTGTATGGACCTGAAGGAGAGGCTGAGGAAGCGAACAGAGAGGAGATGTGTGACCACCTCACCATACAAGCTGTCGAGGCACAGGAGGGAAGGAGCTGGTTGCTGCTGTCGTGTTCCCTCAGAGGAATGTTTTACTCAGAAGCTGGATAGTACAGCACTGGATGACCATCGATGCCAAAGCATCTGCTGGTGCAGACAGGACTGTGGGACCGCAAAAAGGGACATTGCCATGAAAGAAAAGCAGTAGAAGGGAGAAGGGTCAAACCCCAGTCTTGGTGGCCGTGAGGTTGTCCAAGTGACTGAAAGGTGTGTGAGTGCTTAATGTGCTGATATTGTACCTGTATGCAAAGTCTTATGAATAACAGGGGAGCAACTAAGCCAATACATTAGCAGGGAACATTTTCCACAAGTTCACGGAGGGGAAACACTGGTTACCACCTGCCAGCAGAGATTATTTCCCATTTGCCATGCCAAAAAGCACGGTGTGTTGGTGTGCACTTCTGTCACGTGCACTGGGCTTTATCACCAGGACCAAGCAAACAAAATGGTAAGTTTTGCTCCGTGTGTGAGGGGAAATGAACAGCTGCTGGCAAAGCTTGCTATGGGAGGAGAAGGCTGGGGCTGCCAGCAACCTGCCTGTTCCAGGGTACAGAGGGAATTTACAAAGCCCCGTAGAGCTGGAGAGAGATGTCCACGCCAGATCCGACTGGCAATGCAGGAATATCAAAGGGGTTTGCTATCCCATGCTGAGATGCTGTGATGGGATGTGCAAAATGCAGTTTTCTCTCGAACAGGTCGATGGTGATGTTGTTTTAGCACCACCACAGCAGAAACTGCCAATTTATGTGGTAACAGCCCAGCAAAAACGAATCAGAGATTTGTTGTGATTTGTGGCATGTATCTACTTGCAAAAAAAGTCCTTAACACACTGCTATTTGGCAAATCATAGAAACAATTGTAGAATGGTTTGTGTTAGAAGGGACCTTACAGCTCATCTCATTCCACCCCCCTGCCATGGGCAAGGACACCTTCCACTATCCCAGGTTGCTCCAAGCCCCATCCAACCTGGCCTTGAACACTTCCAGGGATGGGGCAGCCACAACCTCACTGGGCAACCTGTGCCAGGGCCTCACCACCCCCACAGGGAAGAATTTCTTCCTCATACCCAATCTAACCCTTCCCTCTGTTACTTTGAAGCCATTCCCTCTTGTCCTGTCACTCCATACCCTTGTCCAAAGTCCCTCTCCAGCTCTCTTGGAGCCCCCTTAGGTACTGGAAGATCCTCTACAGTCTTCCTGGAGGCTCCTCTTCTGCAGGCTCAACAGCCCCAACTCTTCCAGCATGTCTCCATAGCAGAGCTGCTCCAGCCTTTGCATCAAGTGATTTTTGCCTTTAGGTAACTAGGACAGGCTCCCAGCCAGGATCTGTGTCCTGGAGTTTGAAGGTCTGGAGAAGCTGTACCTGGATCCAAGGGTTGGTCCAAGCCCTGAGTGGGTGGAGTGTCCGTGGAAAACATTATAAGGAAGCATTAGGGAGCTGAGCAAACAGTGTGAGCTGGAGCAGAGGGAGAAGCAACATGGGAGAGCTTTGTGTCCGCTCTGTGCTGGTGACTGGGGCCAACAGGGGCCTCGGCCTGGGGCTCGTCCAGCATCTGCTGGGGTTGCCAAAACCTCCACAGTGGTTGTTTGCAACCTGTCGGGACCCCAAGGGGCAGCGAGCACAGGTGAGGCCGGGCTGGGAGCCAGTGGCTGTGCTGGGGGAAGGGAGTGCTCAGTGCCAGGGTGGAGGTTGGAGCTGGGAGGGGGTTTGAAAAGGGTTGGAGCCGCATCGGGGCAGCCGCAGCACAGGGCAGCTGGGCAGGGGTGTCCATGGGAGCAGCTGTGCATGGGATGTGTGGAGGGTACGGAGGCATGTGATATGTGATGGAGACACGGAGCACTCCCCATCCATTGGGACTGGGGCAGCTGGAGCAGGGTGCTGGGCACAGGCTTCGACTGGCTTTGCTGGGAGAGCCTTTGCAGAGCTGTTCCAGCCTGTCAGTGCCAATGTTGTGACCTCTTTTGCAGGAGTTACAGAATTTGGCCTCCAAACATCACAACCTGGTCATCCTCCCTCTTGGTAGGTTCCCTCTTGTCCCAGTTCCTCTGGCAAATGCCTGGGCACTCATCACAGCCCTGGGAACCCCACATGGGAGGGAGCTGTGGGGGGCACATTCCTGGGGAGACACAGGGGGCTCCAAGTCACCACAGGGACACTGACCTTCCCTATGTCGGCTCTGCAGAAGTTGCCAACCCCACCAGCATCAAGGCAGCTGCAGCCAAAGTTGGGGAGCACCTGGGGGGCTCCGGGCTGAACCTTCTCATCAACAATGCTGGAATTGTCAAGATAACCTTGCTTGAAAATGAGACACTGGAAGACATGACTGAGATTTACACCACCAACACAGTTGGGCCTCTGCTGATGGGCCAGGTGAGACCCTCACCCAAGCTGGGCTGTCCTGGGGGAGCGTGAAGGGCTGGTGGGAGGGGGTCCTGCTTCCACTCTGGAGCCTGATGGGCTCTCAGTTGATGAGAAGCTTGTGGAGCCATGGGCTGGAGCTCAGGAGCTGGAGCCTGGCAGGCTGGGGCAGTGGGGAGAGGAGGGAGA